AAAAAAAAAAAACAAAATTAGTATTTTTATGGGAGTGCTTTCACAAGTCAACGTTAAGTCAATGCAGTATACACCGTGAATGGAAGGGGTACCACTTCGTAGTACTACTAGTAAAAGGGAAAAATGAAAGATTAATGGGAACTTACATTCCCCGCGGTGGTCCTTGACAAAAGCTTCGGTCATGGCTTCGCGAACGCGAACGCCGGGGAAGCTCCCTTGTGCTACTTTTGCACCGATTCTGAACTTCCGACTCCGAATCCAGCTCGAATTATCTGTGAACTCAAGGTCTCCGACCGATGCAACCCCGTTCCTCCCCGTCGCCATCAACTCTCCGACGAGGAGGGGGCGCTTCCCACTCCTCTCCCTCACCATGTTGCTCTAATTAATTGTGATTGAGAGCAGATTTCTTTAAATTAATTAATTTTTTAAAATTATTTATTTATTTATTTATTAAATTAATTCTATCTTTTAATTTAAAATAAATTAATAAACATTAAATAATATAAAAAGGAAAAGTTACTAATTCTCTTATTTTCTTTTACTATCACATGTAATATTAATTATTTTTCAATCTTATAATTTAACACACAATTTATATTATTATCAATTTAATTTAAATAATTTTTCCTCAAATATATGCATAAATTATATAATAAAAAAAATGATCAAATATTTTAAACATTAAAATTAACAATAAAAGCACATCATAAAATAACTTTAATTAATTAAAATTTTAAATGCCATAAAATCTCTACTAAAGTGATTGATTAAGTTATGTAGTAATCCTAATTGATTAAATTAATTTATAATAAAAATAATAAAACTTAAAATAATAATTATAAATATAAGAATATCAAATAATATATAAAAATAATTTAAAAAATAACAAAACTTAGCTTAAAAAAAATAAAATTCTTTATTTTTTATTGTTAATAAATTCTTTATTAACTCTCCTATCTTAATTTTTAAGGGCACCAAAAGAGAGTTGCCCACCAACCCCCTCCTAAAAGCTTTTTAATTTTGATTCTAGATGAATATTTATACCAGTGCAGAGAAGCCAATTGGCACAGAACCCACGCCTAAATAATATGCACTGTACGAGGAGTTGTTGAATTTGCCCAAGGAGTCGACCCCCTAAACAAGCTACCGACAGCTTTACTAAATCGTTGAATGAAAAGTCTGAATCGGATTTTTATGTAAGCAATTTTGATTAATGGTAAAATGACAAAATTGATTCATAGCTTTTAATTTCTGCATAATTTAATTTTTAACTTTCTAATTTCTGTAGTTTGATCTTAAAACTTATAATTTCTTTCAATTAATTTTTTTAACAAAAAATAAAAATTATCTAAAATCAAATAAAATATGATAAAACTCATTCAATTATTAATAATATTAAAAAAAATTTCACATTAATATATGAAAATTCAGCTCATTACAAGTCCCCATTTGCCTCAATCTTTTGTTTTACAAAAGTATTACCTAAAGTCAAACATGGTAATAATTAATTAAGAGTAGTTATATGCATTGACAAAAAGAAAATGGGAAAATTCCTCTGTAACGGGTTATCAAACTTTTCCTTCATATTAAGTGAAATTGTAAGTCTTATATGAATGAAAATACTATAATTAAATTTTACATAAGTGTATTAAAATTTTTTAAAAGGTTTGTAATATTCTTTTTTGACAAATAATTAAAATAATAAGTACTCATTAATTCTAATTAAATAAATTTTAAAATTTTAAAAAAGAACAATAAACAAGACTTTTTTTTGGTCTTTTATTACTTTAATGAATTATTTTTTCTTTTAATAACTGAATCTAATTCAAAAATTCAATTTTGATTACCAAAAATTTGATTTTTTTAATATAATTCATTCAATTAACAAATTTCTTTCGATCTTTTTAAGTTAAAAAAAAAATTCTTTTATCATTAATCAAATTGAAATATTTCAATTAATTAAAATTTTAACTAAATTAATAAAAAAATTTATTTTAAATTACGAGGGATTTGGAATTGAATAAAATACATTCACCTCTAATGATAAAAAAATATTGAAAAAATTATGTACAGAGAGTTTTAATTGTTATTTTTTAATTTTATGATAATTGATTTAACTAATATTAATAAAAATTTAATATTTTAATTATTACACCTAAAAAATTATAAATTGTATCTTCACTAAATAATGAATAAAAAAATCTAGTGAACTCGTACCACGAAGA